AATAGGTTGGGAAATAGGAGATACAAATAATAATAAGAAAAAACTGACTGCAAAATATGAGATACATTTATACATAATTTTTTTTTTTTTACAAATATGCTATTAAGATTTGTTAGGCTGTCATAACGTTTTTTTTGTTTTATATATAAAAATATTGTGTTCTTTGGAATAATACTGAGGTGTAATAATTTTTTAATGTTGGAATAAATAGTTATTGTGGTTAGTTTATTGATTCAAGTGAAAACTGAAATTTAATTTAGGGAAAATTACGGCCATCCATGAGGTAAGGTCGAATTACGAAGAAAAAAAAACACTCTTGTTTGCATAATTATAAGCAACCACTCAATTATGTATTATCTTTCGAAAAAATCCCTAATATTAATAAATTTAGGGACGTTTGTTCGGTAAAATTGTACATAAATTGTGGGGTACGCCAAAATTTCATATTATTTAGCGTTTGGTTCGATAAATAACCAAATTACCAAAGTTTTATTAAAAAATATTTATAATTTTGCTTTTTTTTTTTAATTAATTTTAGTTTTAATACCAATATATATATATATATATATATATATATATATATATATATATATATATGGGCAAATGACAAAAATGGACATGACAAGGGACTTAAATGCACATTGGTCCACAAAAAAATCAGTCTTTCAAATAAACTCATCCCTATGTCTTTAGTCTAAAATATCATCTAGAATATATTTTTTATCAATTTCATCCATTATACTCTAACTTCGTTAATATTACACATTGACCCCAGATTTAAACAAATATATCACATTAACCCCCATTTTCATAATTTTTTGAAAAAATATTTTTTTTTTTCAGAAAATCATTTTTTTTCTGAATTTTTTTTTCCTGCCAGATACCGGGATTGACCGGGCGGTTCTCCGGTATTACTTTTTTTTTTTTCTGAATTTTTTTTCTGCCCGGTCAACCGCCGGTCTCCGACGTTGATTTTTTTTTTCGATTTTTTTTTTTAAATTTTATTTTTTCTTAGAAAATATTATTTTAATTAATACTGTCTTGACTGCTAAATTACTGTTTGGGATAGTAATATTATGAATATTATTTTCCCGAACAATAATATTACTGTCCTAGACAGTAATATTATTGCATGAGACAGTAATATTACGGTCGGAAACAGTAATATTACAGTCGAACACAGCAAAAATGCAAGCCAAGATGATAAAATTAATTAATACAGTAATATTATTGTATTAGACAGTTAAATTACTGTTGGAAACAGTAATTTAGCAGCCAAGACAGTAATATTAATTAAAATATTTTTTTATAAGAAAAAATGATTAAAAAAAAAAAGTTAATTAACAGTTAAATTACTGTCTCCGACAGTTAAATAATTGCTGGAGGCAGTAATTTAGCAACCAAGACAGTAATATTAATTAAAATATTTATTGTTAAGAAAGAAAAGTCAATCAATAGTTAAATTACTGTCTCCAACAGTTAAATAACTGCTGGAGACAGTAATTTAGCAGCCAAGACAGTAATATTAATTAAAATATTTCTTTTAAGAAAAAAAAAGTCAATTAACATTTAAATTACTGTCTTCGACAGTTAAATAACTGTTGGAGACAGTAATTTAGCAGCCAAGACAGTAATATTAATTAAAATATTTTTTTAAGAAAAAAAAATTAAAGGAAAAAAAAGTCAACGCCGGAGAAAATTGGTCAAAATTGGGGTCAAAATTGAAATTATGGTCAAAACTGGTTATTTGGTGAAATTGGGCTAAATTGGGGGTGTAAATCATGAAATTGGAGTTGAATTGAGTTTCAATGAATTGAGGGTAATTTTGGTATATATAAAAGGGTTTCCTTCTTTGCAAATAAGTTTGAATGAGCCGGATATATTTAAAAGACAAAAAAGTTGGATGTCCCTTTTTTAATTAAGTGCCCTTGTCATGGACGTATTTGCTATTTGCCCATATAATATAAACTGAATACCACACCGAATAACGGTTTGGTAATCAGCATGTACGAATTTTCGTTTGGTTCGATTCGATCGGTTTACCGGCCGAATGAACACCCCTAGGTAAATTTGACATCGTAAAGGTGGACGAGTAAGACAATATATATTTGAGGGGTGGCTGTAATTATGCAAACAAAAGGGGTTTTTTGATAATCATACGTTATTTTAGGGGGTGACTGTAATTTGTACTGTTACGACAACAGTACAAAGTGTCGCCAGTTACAACAATAGTACAAAGTGTCGCCAGATAGGCCATCACAAACCTTGTGAAGAAACACATTTTTTGGTCACAAAACTTGGGATATAACAATGAAACGTTGCATATTGCAACCAAACTAGGAAACGATCACAATGTTCGTCTATAATTTGGGACAATATGCAGATTTTTGCTAGGTCCTTGCTATGTTTTTGTTTTTCAAAACGTCGCATATATATTAAATCGGTCTTTAGTAATCAACTTGCGGTTCGATGAAGATATTGCGACGATAACTAGTTGATGTGCCTAATTGGGTTTTAACCCCAAAAGCCCAAAAAGCTCATTCAAAGTAAAAGCCTAACACAAAGGTCCTTAATTAAGAACTTCATAAGAAGCTTATGGGAAGAAATCTAATGTTTTTTGTCACACATTGGTTTTTTACAAGAAAACTTTACCAAACTCCACCTATAAATATGTGTTATCAATCACATAACAAGGTAAGCAATATTTAGGCAATTAATTAATATTATTTGCTTATATTGTGATAGTTTTCTGACTTGAGCGTGGGAGGACTATCCCCGGGCCACCCCCGGCGTGTCACTTAGTGTTTTCAACTGTTTTGTAGGTTAACGAGTGGAGCGATCCCTTCGACTATCTCGGACGCGTGGCAAATACTCTCTGCATTCTCGATATTGGGCTTGAAGATTCCCGAACTTAGAAGATCTGTGGGCTTCAAGACCATTGGGCTGACCCAACATTTTGGAGCAGCATCACTAGTAAATATAAATAAATGTGACTCTCATTCTAAAATTCTATCCGAAGCATATTTCTCTAAAATAAAATGAAAATAAACTTCAATTCCCAAAAATAGGCCAAGTGTATGAGTATACTCCAACACTTCAAAAAAATATACTCTTACACGGCTAAAATTTATCAAGTATTAATGGTTCGAAGTCGAACTTCAAATTTGTTGATATCTGGAAGGAGATGTTTGTGGGAAGAACACAAAATCACTTCTTTCTGTAATCGGAAATTGTGATTAGGATCAAAAGATTGGCTTTTCGTACAAGAATGACAAAAGAGAACTAACTGCTTATTTCGCCCGCAACAAATATTATGATTATAGAAAATTTACCTAATATTTCCCTCCGTAAAAAGAAAAAAAGAAAGAATCTTTACCTAATGTTTGGTTTCACTTTTCACTTCACATTTTTCTTCTTCTTTTTTTCTAGGACAAAATCATTTTTATCATAAGTTGTTTTAAGCACTTTCACTCATTCAAATAATAATCATATTTTACGATATTTAATGTAATGTCACTAGTAGAAAATTATTACTACGAATTTTTTGCTACGGTAAAAAGCTTAATAAAAGGTATTTTTTACTACAGAACAATTTCGAAGTCGTAGTAAATACTAGGATTTACCACAGCAAAAAAATATTTGGTACGGCCATTTACCGTAGCAAAACTTTTGTCACGCCCGTATATGCAACGGGGCAAATTCATAGCAAATGCGTAGCAAAAGTCTTTTTAGTACGAATTTGATACTTTTCACTACGGTTAATGATCGTAATAAAAAATCATTTTTCTACTAGTGTGTTCTATTGTATTATGTGCAACATAGCAACAAAGATTTTTTAATTGAAATGTTTTTTTTAAGCACTGGGTGCTTGTATGAATAATACAAAGAATCACAAAATTAAGAAAAACATGGTGATTACAAATTTAAAGATACAAATATTTTCACCAGAACATGGAGTCGTTTTTCAAATTGCTTTAGCTCAGTTCCCTTATGTCCAGTCCACTCCTTTTGTCCAGAAGTCCACACAGATACAAGCACCAGGTTTATTTTCACTCAACCTCAATCATCATACCCACAAGTCATGAAAAATAGGACCCGGTCCCGGTCCCGGTCCAGACGGAGGCTTGCGCGTTTCGACAGGTTTGTGACGATTGCTGGCAGACCCGTCCAATTTCTTTTTTTGCTTTACCATTGATTACAAACGATTGATGATCTCAACCGTTAAAATAAATTATTTAACTCGGAATGGTCGATCCTCTCGGTCGGAGTCAAACTAGCCATTGATCAATGTTTCTCAAAACAATTTGGTTTTTATTTTATTTTTGGGGTCGGCCTATATCCAGCAGGCCTTCATAGACAAGCTGGTTCATGGACCTGATTCGACCCATTCGGTGGGTATATTATATATCTACTATAAAGTATAGGGTAAAATTACGGTCACCTCTTGCGGTAAAGTTAAATTACAAAAAAAAAAAATCCTCATGTTTGGGTAATTACAATTACTCACTCAACTATGAACCTTCTTACATGTCCATCATTGCAGTGTCAAATTTAGTGGAATCTTCTAGATTATGCGAAATATGCTCCTGTTTGTACCCATTTGACCCGATCAAGCTCCACATTTTATAAGAAGATAATCATAGCATGTGTCTCTCGACTTGCAAATATCAGATTGTAGTGCATCAGAAACTTCATTTTTGCACAAAACAGGTACAAGAACATTCCACGAAATCTCGAAAATTATGTATAAATTGACGTGTAAAAATATTCATAATTGAGCTCGGATGTATGTAATTATTACCCAAACATATAATTTTTTTTCGTAATTTAACTTTACCTTAGCGGATGACCGTAACACCCCAAATAATTCACATACGTCTCTATATGGGGTTGGTGAAAGTGGTCCGGAAGCTCCTCATTTGTAATTAATGTTAGTTATGTAGATTCTTCTTTATATCTCAAAAAGAAAAAAAAAAGTTGAGATAGAATATATATTTATGGTGGGGAGACTGAGACATCTACAATAAACACAAACTCACACGGGTTACACCATACACCACCACCACCACCACCATCACCATCATCTCTGTGGGGTCGGCAACAAAACAAACTCCTTTATCCTTCATAAATAATTTATCATTCCTCCTTAAAACCCTCATATGTTGTTGTCTCTTCTGTAATAATAATGGCCTCATTTCTTATAACTATTATTATTGCAACCGCCGCGGCAAATTGTCTGCTACTACTTTTTCCCGCCGATGGAAGCTCCGCCGTCGGGGATCCCGGAATGCGGCGGGACGGGCTGAGAGTTGCGTTTGAGGCTTGGAACTTCTGCAATGAAGTCGGCCAGGAAGCCCCGTCCATGGGCAGCCCCAGAGCTGCTGATTGCTTCCATCTTTCAAGTAATTTTTACTAATTAATCCCTTTTCTTTTAATTTCTTTCATTTTTTTTTTATATCTTTATTGGAGTTATTAGCACCGACCCCCCCTTATAATCTGTTGTTGTCGAAAAAACCCGTATGTTAAAAAAATTAGCAATAACCCCCCTATGTTACGTTTTACAAAACACACAGCTCCCGTAATAAAATTGATTTTTGACTTAAAAGTCATGACAAAATTACCCCTAATAATTCTTAAAATACATTTCTATTTAAATAAACAAAATGATTTTTATTTTTTTATTGAATGAAAGGAAATTATGAAACTTTATTTTGGGTCTCAACAAAATTATGGGGTGAAATTATAATTTTTAAAATTTATATTTTAAAGGGTATTTTGATCTTTTCAAGTTAAAAAACATACTCCAATCCAAGTCGCGAAATCCACCTGTGCAACACACGTTCAGCTCGCAGGGGCTTTATTGGCTTTGATTAAGTATTATAGGGGGGTGTTTGCAAATATTTTTAACACAAGGGTTTTTTCAGAAATTAGATATTACACAGGGACGATTCTAGCAAAAAACCCCATCTTTATTGTCCTGACAACATTTACGCACAATCTTTGATTTTTGCAGATACCTCTGTTATAACGCACAAAGTGACAGAAGCCGACAACAAACTCGGAGTCGGGTCACCTTTCCCGGGTCTGAGCCCGGGTGCTTTAAACAACCCGGATCTTTACGCGGCGGAGAAGGAATTGTATTTGGGTGCACTGTGTGAAGTTTCAGCATGGCAGTTTTGGATGGTAATGCTGAAGAACGGAAACTACGACACCATGTCGGGTCTCTGCCCGGAAAACGGGAAACCGGTAGCACCATTCAACAACAATGGCAGATTTCCATGTTTCGGGAGTGGGTGCATGAATCAGCCCGTGTTTTTTCATCAGCCAACTTTTTTGGATGCGGATGGTACTACTATGAAAGGTTGGTTTAACGGTACCTACGATCTTCGGTCGTCGAATTCGATGTCGTATTTTGAGGTGGTTTGGGAGAAGAAAATCGGGAGTGGGAGTAGTTGGGTGTTTAGTCATAAATTGAGGACCTCGAAAAAATATCCGTGGCTAATGTTGTACCTTAGAGCCGACGCAACTAGCGGATATTCGGGTGGCTACCATTACGACACTCGCGGAATGCTCAAAATCGTAAGTTCGAAATGTTTTGTTAGTCGTTTCTAGGCGTGTTTTTGTTAGGTATATATTGAACTAATCGCTAATTTATAGTTACTGAGATGATGAATGATGATATGTTTGTGTTGCCTTATTTGCTTTTACTTGCCTAATATGACATGGGTGGAAATTGGACCGGAAATTCCGAATTCTGTCGATTTCGCTCCGAAATTTTCCAATTTTTGAATAATGTTTTTCACTCCGAATTCGGAAAGTTCTTCCAATTATTTTTCGAAAATTACATTTACAATAACATTATGTATGTGACTACAAATTTAGAATTTCCGAGTTTCGCAGATTTCAATCCAAAAATTTCCAATTTTGGAGCAAGTTTTCTCATCACAATTACCGAAATTCCCATTTCCAATTTTTTTTTTTCCGGTTTTTTTGGAACGGAAATACAATTAATCTTCCACTTCTGAAAAAAATGAGAATTTTCCGAAAGTGCTAATTCATATTCTATCCGATCCATTCCGTTTGATTTCCAGCCGTAAATATGCCTAATCAATCTTCACTCTATATTCCGTATGTAACAAATAAATTCAATCGTATTTCAGCTTCCCGAATCTCCAAATTTCAAAGTAAAAATGAGACTAGACATCAAACAAGGAGGAGGCCCTAAAAGTCAATTCTACCTAATCGACATCGGAAGCTGCTGGAAAAACAACGGCACCCCTTGCAACGGAGACGTACTAACCGACGTAACAAGATACTCGGAAATGATAATCAACCCGCAAACCGCAGCTTGGTGCAGCCCTACAAATATAGGCAACTGCCCCCCTTACCATATTACTCCCAACAACACCAAAATTCTCCGAAACGACACCAAAAACTTCCCATACGGAGCATATCACTATTACTGCGCCCCGGGGAATGCACAACACTTGGAGAAGCCGTATAGTACGTGCGATCCCTACAGTAACCCACAGGCACAAGAGTTGGTGCAGTTACTTCCTCATCCGATATGGGAAGAATACGGGTACCCTACGAAACAGGGGCATGGTTGGGTCGGAGATGGGAGGAATTGGGAGCTTGATGTTGGTCGCCTTTCTAGTAGACTATACTTCTATCAAGTATGCATCGAATTATACAAATTAATTAATTTTTATTTTTTATTTGTTTATCTTACTAACGATAAACGGGTTATTTAAATTGATTTTTTTAGGATCCGGGTACCGCACCTGCGAGAAGAATATGGACGTCACTTGATGTAGGAACGGAGATTTTTGTTACCGATCAAGAAGAAGTGGCTGAATGGACTCTTAGCGACTTTGATGTCATTATTACTTAAATCTATATATTGATTCCGGAACAAGATAAAACGAGCTCGAGATCACTTTTTATTTAAAATCATGATTTCTTGCGTGCAATCACATTTTCAGTTACAGTAATATAACGAAGATTTATGTGGAGTACTAAAAGGAAAATGAAATAGAAAATTAATAGAGATTGTGCCCTACATTTTGTATACGTCGAAGCTTCCTAAGCTATTTCTTGGCCGTGGAATACTATTTCGGCGAGCCATCCAGCTGTCATTCGTACAAATAAGAACGTCGATTTTCTACAGCAGAGACAGCCGTTCCATCGCGTTGATTAGGCCAAATCTCAGTAACAGTCCCCCATCTTATTATTTAGTCCCGTTTTAGCTCCTTATATCTCTATCGTCTCGTTTTCATCCATCAATCCTACAATTCATCTCATTATAGTCTTTCTGTGTATAATTTGGTTAACTTTAACGAATTTTTTAAAGATTGGACGGAATTTTCTATTCTAAAAATTATTTTTAGTAAACTACAAACAAAATAAGAACATGGAAGAACATATATACTTATTTTATCTTTTTTTCTTTTTGTGAATTATTGTAAAAAAATATTTGGGCCTGAACCCCCGAAAATTTAACCTACCTTAGATAGACATGGCCATGGGCCGTTTTGGGCCCGGAACCGGCCCGAAGCGACTCGTTGACGACCCGGCCCGGGACCCGTGAACCGGCCCGTTGTCCACGGGACGGGCCCGATTCTATGAAATGGTGAACCGTGAACCGCCGGGCTGGCCAGGCGGTTCACCCGGATTTAAAAAAAAAAAAATTCAAAAAAAAAAGCAAATAACGGCTATTGAACCGGGCCGGGTGAACCGGCCGTTATTTTTTTTTTTTGAATTCCCCCCCCCCCCAAAGTTTTCCTATAAATACCCTCACACCCCAATTTTTCCTATAATTTACTTATTCATCAAATATTTCAAAAATAAATAAATAAAAAAAAAATTCAAATTTTCCGGGCCGACCCGGAACCGGCCCGAACCGGCAGGCCGACCCAGACCGTCGAACCGTGCATATTACGGGCCGGTTCTGGTTCCGGAAAAAGTGAACCGTGAACCGGTATGAACCGGCCCGAACCGGCCCGTGGCCGTGTCTAAGTCCTTAGACATGTATTATTTCGAAAAATATTTCGCCCCTCTTACAAAGTGGTCTAAATCGGCACTTGGCTGTGGTTGTAATTCGGAGGTGACAAGCGTTTATTTAAATCGAGAATGAAGTTTCCGGCAAGCAGCAACAACGATTCAACCGCCAAAACCGTCGCCCTCCATTTCCCATTATGTCGGGGTCCCCTTCCTCCTCACAAATATTCCTACAAAACGAGAGGTAATTTAATTTTTAAATTTCAAAATGTCATTATATAAATTAATTCACTCAATGGCACCAGCACCACACTAGGGGTGTGAATGAGCCGAGCTGGAGCCAAGTCGCCTTTTTTGGCATGCTCGAGGTGAGCTCGAGCTCGTTGAGTTCCTTTTTTTTTATTTATTTTTTTTAAAATATTATTTTATTATTATTAAAAACTATTTAAAAAAATAAATAAACAATAATTGTAATTATATATATTTTTTAATTTTTAATTTTTTTTTTATTTATTTCTATAATATTTTATAGGGTAAATTGCACTTTACCCCCCTGTGGTTTCAGGGTTTGGCACTTCACCCCCCTGTCATATCAATTTAAGCACTTTACCCCCCTGGTTTGACAAATTGTAGCGGCCGTCTATTTGAGTAACGGAAACTGGCTAATGTCTGAAATACCCTTTTATTTTCTGACTTTTTACAGGTGAAAACCACGATCCCCATTTACCCTATTCATTTTATTTCTCCCCAAATACAATTCTCAATTTCGTTCCCATAAAATTCAGAATATTTTCGACAAATCTTGGACTGATTTGAACCAGTAGTTCACATAATTAGGATTCAAAGAGGATTACGACAATAGATGAACCAAGGCTTCGCATAAACTGGTTGTAGAGGAAGGGCGAAATTGCTATGGAAGATCCCATGTAAGTTTTTCACTTTAATCCTTTGTTTGTTGATTGTTCATTTGATTTATTTTGTTATTTCGTTAAATCTGGGGGATGCCAAAGTCTTCTTGTCCGAAATTTTACATTTTTTTGTAATATGGCTCAAAGCCCTAATTTTCAAAATAATCCAGTAAGATTTTGCCCTTATTTTATTGTCTCAATTGTTTCTTTCAATGTGTTTGGTTTGGTTTCTTTATTGTGTATTGTGGTCCCCTATTCAATTTTTTATTGATTCTGAGAATGGTCCCCCATTTCTTATTCCTAAATTGTGACTTACTGTTCCCTAAAACAACAGTCTTTTGTTTCTTATTGTTCCATAAAATAATATTCTTATCTATTCTTTATTGATTGCAAAACCCCTGTTACTATAGAATTCCATTATGGGGGAAATTTTATGTGGAAACCTAGCATTAAGTATGTTGGAGGGAAAGTGGAGTTTGTAGAAGTTGAAGACAGAGAGAGGCATGTTGTGTTATTTGTACTTTCAGCAGCTATACCAAGCTCAATTGGGATTCAGGCATGGATGTTTGTTATACTACAGAGTGGCTGGGGAAACTTTGGATAGAGGTTTATGTACATTGAAGGAGGATGCATATGTTGCTGCTAGGGTTAATGCTTATGAAGGACTGGATGTCATCTGTAGAACAAGTTGAAAAAGAAGCTGAGCCAAATATTGAAGTGCAAGTGGAATCAGTTGTTGAACCAGTTCTTGAACCTTGGACATAATTTGAAGACCTTATTGATGAAGTTTATGAAGAGCTTACTAGTGACAAAGCAAAGTCTAGTCAAGTTGAAGAAAATCAGCAAACAAGGGGTGTAGAAAGTGAAGATGAAGAGTTGGAAGATGAAGATGATGAAGATAGACCACCATCTGTACACAGTTCTGTTCCTAGCTAGTTTGATGATGATTTAGAGATGCCAAATGATGACATCGTTGTGACAGAAAAAGCTCCAGCAGTTGAAAGTAAAGGTCCTTATGTGAATGTAGAAGAGTGGTGGTCTGATTGTGAAGATCCTGAAAATCGAGAAGAGTTGAGGAGTACTGATTCTGAAGGTGAAAAGTCTGATGAATTTAATGAGGCTACTGGTATGAAGAATCCAAATTTGTTTGTTGGACTAAAGTTTTCTACACCACAAGTATTTAGAAGAGCCATGATTAGATGGAATGTACTGAGAGGCCATGACATCACATACATAAAGAATGAGAACAAGAAGATTACTGCCAAGTGTAAGGAAGATTGTGGATGGAGAATACATGCATCTCCTGTTGGCAATACATCCACATTCCAGATCAAGACCTTCATATCAGAACACAAATGTGGGAGAAAACATGATAATCATCTAGTGAATTCCAGATACTTAGTTGATGAGTATCTGGATGATTTGAGAGACAATGGAGAGATGAAAGTCAACTCAATGAAAAGAAAAGTAAGAAAGGATTTGAATGTAGAAGTTAGTAGGTGGTAGTGCTACAGAGCAAAGAACAAAGCAAAGAAGATTGTGGAGGGAGACATACATAAACAATTTGCATTGTTGAGAGATTACTGTGCAACTGTGCTTCACCATAATCCAGGAAGTTGCTTCAAGATTCAAACTACTGGTGAAGATGGTACTCAACCTAGATTCTTAAGACTCTATGCAGATTGGCTGCACAAAAGAGTGGATATCTGGCAGCATGTAGACCAATAGTAGGGTTGGATGGTTGTTTTCTCAAAGGAGCAGTTGGAGGTCAGCTTCTAAGTGCTATTTGCAGCGATGGAAATGACAATTTGTTTCTCCTTGCAGTAGCTGTGGTAGAATCTGAGTGCAAACAGACCTGGACATGGTTTCTAATTCAATTTCTTAGAGACATGGGGGAAGTTCAAGAAAGAGGAGGGGTCACAAAAAGGCCTAGTTGAGACCATGAATGAACTGATGCCAGGTGTTGAGCATAGATACTGCATTAGGCATATGTATGCCAACTTCAAACAGAAATACAAAGGGAAAGAGCTGAAAGATTTATTCTGGAAAGCAGCCTCCACAGCAAATTTGAATGACTGGAAGTACTATATGGATGAAATCAAGAAAGCTGATCCACCAACAGTTGTGACTGGTGAGGAAAGCAGCTGTGCATTTCAGTGGTTAATGAAAGCTAATCCTGAAAATTGGGCCAGGTCACATTTCAGCCCAAGCGCAAAATGTGATATTCTTGTCAACAACATGAATGAAAGCTGGAACAACTACATTATTGATGCCAGAGATATGCACATCATCTCAATGCTGGAGTGGATCAGAAAATCTTTAATGATCAGGTTTCAAGTTAAGAGGACTGGTATGCTGAAGCATGAGGGAAAAATTGGTCCAAATATTTTCAAGAAATTGGAGAGAATTAAACAAGCAAGTGCTAATTGCTTTCCTACTTGGTCTGGAGGAATGGTGTTTGAGGTGGAGTGTCATGAGGGGCCTAATATTAGGCAATGCTTTGTCAATCTTGAAACAAGAACATGTACATGTAGGATGTGGGATGTGAGTGGGATTCCTTGCAAGCATGCCGTTAGTGCTATCTATCTTAACAAGCATCAACCAGAGGATTATGTGCATTCTTGCTACACTAGAGATGCTTACCTGGCCACTTACAACTTTCAAGTCTTTCCAGTTCCAGGGGAGCATGACTATTTGAAGTCTGGGCTGCCACAACTACTGCCTCCATTTATCAAAAAACAAGTTGGAAGGCCAAAAACGAAAAGAAACAAGACAGCTGATGAACAAGAAACTAGAAAAGCTGATCCAACCAAAGTTTCAAGAAAGAATTTGCCAGTGACATGTGCTAGGTGCTTGAAGGTTGGTCACAATAAAAGAGGATGCAAGGGAGAAATGCATCCTAATTCTAAGTTGCATAAGGTAATTTTTCTACTATTTCTATTTTATTTTATTTATTTATTTTAGTTCTATATTACTTTTATATGTTTAATTGAGTTTTGTATTCATTGATTGCAGCAAAAAAATACACAGACTCCTAGAGTTAATAAGATGTCAGTTCCTAGAAAAGCACCCCCTCAGAATGGAGAAATTTTCCAGACTCCTTTTCAGGTAATTTATGTTAATTTTCCCAGCATTTAAATCTCAGCTACTATATTTGACCAATTTAATTTGTTTGTTTTAGAATTCATTTGCACCAAGTCCTTCAATGCAACAGTCATTTGTACCTAATTCAAGTTCCTCTCAACAACCTCATGTTTCTCAATCCACTTTTGAGGTTAGTTTACTCAGTTTTTGAATACTTGCATTTTTTTTAATTAAATCTGACTTTAACTTCTTTTCTTTCATAGAATCCATTCTCTCAACAGCCTGCCTCACAGCCAGCACTATTACATGGCCCTAATGGTGCATTATTCCAGAGATCAAAGACAACTAGAGTTGGTGGAAGCAAAAGCACAGCTGTTGGTGGAAGCAAAAGAACAGCTGTTGGTGGAAAAAAAGGAAAAGCACAAGAGACAGTGAAGAAGAGACCAGTTTGGATGCCCTGATTTTTTGATGAAGCTTTTTTGGTGATTTTTTTGGGTTTTTTTTTTTTTTGTCTAAAACAGAGCTACTTTTGTTTTTGAACAATGCATTTTCTCTTTTTTGTGGTCTGTATTGGCTAAAACAGAGCCATTATTTTTTAACAGTGCATTTCTCTTTTTTGTGGTATGTATTGGCTAAAACATAGCCATTCTTTTGAACTTGTATTTGCACTGTTATTTAGTGTTATGTATTTAAAACAGAGGAATTTAAAGCCTATATGTTCACATTTCACAGCATATATATTTCAAAGCATTTCATTGATAAAAATTGGTACTACTTGCCATTAATAATAGTTTACATTTCAAAGCTTACAAACAAGAATACCAACTGTAATGAAAAACGAAAAAAAGTCATCCAAACAACACTTGCTTCATCATTTCTTGTTTAGCTTCAACAACTTCAACCCTTGTCTTTATGGCAACAATCATTTGCTCAAATTCATCTCCAGCCCTTGATGTTGTTGTTGCAGTTGGGTTGCCAATGATAATTGGGTTGCCATTGAGTGCATAGGGATTGCACCATCCTTGAAAGCCACAAGTTACATTAGGGCATACAAAATATAATCGCCCCTTAGAGGGCTTACCCTCGGTTTCCACAATTTTTATGAGTGTTTTTTGGCCACACCTAAAACATACCTTCCCATTGTAGCGAAGATCAATATTTTGAGGCTCTCCAAACCTGCTGCTGCTTGAAGAAGACATGGGGAAACAAAATTAAAAATAAAGAAAGAAGTGGAGAAGAAGGCTATGTTCAGCGTTTTCTTTAGGGAGGCAGTGGAAGGGCTTTATATTAAATGAAAAAGGGGTAAGATGGGTATATACAAAAAACATCAGCTGAGAAAATCTCAACCACGCCATTTTAGGGCGAGTGAAGCACACTTGCGGTTAACTTTAACGGAATAACAGACGGCCGCTACAATTTGTCAACCCCAGGAGGGTAAAATGCTTAAATTGATATGACAGGGGGGTGAAGTGCCAAACCCTGAAACCACAGGGAGGTAAAGTGCAATTTACCCTATTTTATATTATTATACATTATTTAAATAAAAAATAATATATAAAAAAATAAAATAAAAATAAAAACAATAAATAAGGCCCGCGAGCCGTCTGGTGAACTCACAAACAACTAAAAACTGGCACAAGCTCGAGCTCGAACAACTCGAGTCCGAGCTTTTTTCGAGCCGGCTCATCGAACTCACGAGTCGGCTCGGCACCCCTAAGCACCACTATTCAGCAATTTGATGATGTTTTATCCGAGGTGAAATAAACATCAAAATGCAACAAAAGATTAAATTGATATAACTATGAAATAAAAAGTAGAAAATAAAAAAAAATCATTTATTTAGTTTACCAATACAACAATACATTAACAAATTCAAAGATACATCCAAGTTAACGTTACATAACTTGTCTAGATTCACCTCAAGTTGTTGCAAATTTTTTGACACTATAAACTCCTTACAAAACCTTCCAAATTGTTGAATGAACTCCCACCTTCACTCATAGCATCAAATGCAGCCTTACTCAATGCCTTCGCACGAGCTTTCTTCTCCGCCCACTTTTCGCCCCGAGTTTCTTCTAGAAACTTCACCAAATCATCGGAATCCAGCGCCGACTCATCCCCTTCGCACACTCGTACCGCAATGTCCAATTGATCGACCAGCAAAGTCGCATTCAGAAACTGATCGGCACCCATCGGCCACGTCAGCATCGGCACTCCCGCCATGATACTCTCCAGAGTCGAATTCCACCCGCAGTGCGTCAGGAACGCGCATATCGCTCTGTGCTGGAGTATCGTCACTTGCGGGGCCCACCCCTTGATCACGAGCCCCCTCCCCGCCACGCGGTCCTCGAAGCCGAGCGGAATCGAGCCGTGATTCTCCTCGTCGTGCCCTTTGGTTGCACCCTTCACCGACAAAATGAATTTGACCCCACTTTTCTCCAAACCTAAAGTCAACTCCATCATTTGCCGGTTGGTCAACACGGCCTGGCTTCCAAAGCACACGTACACTACAGTATCGTCTTGACACGTGTCGAGCCACGAAACAATCTCGCTCGGGAGGACCGAGCTGGACCCGCCGCGCTCGGTGGGCCCGATTGTGGGAGGTGACAATACGGGCCCGATCGACCAAACCCGGTCGTGGCCCAATTTCTTAACCAAATAATCCAAATAAACTTTTTCGACCCGGTCGAACGAGTTGAACAACAACCCGTGACTTTTCATATTACCGAGGAAGGCATCTCTGATAAATTCCGAATTTGGGTCTCCCTTTATGTAGCTGCGGTAGACTGGGGACACCTGCCACCAGGGGTAAACTGGGGAATTCGGAATCTCAGGAAACGACACCGTTTCGTTCTCGTCGTCGGGGTTTTTCCTCTGCGGCAATTCAAGCCACAAGGAGAAGACGTAGGAAATGGCGAAGGCGCCGGAGGGGAAAAATGCGTAGCGGCGGATGCTGAGCTGGCGGGCGAGCTCGTCGGTCCATCCGAGGAACATGTCGGAAACTATGGCGACGGGCGGCGAGGGGTGGTCCCGGAACCAGCGGAGGATGGGGTCGTGGAGACCGGCCAAGGCGCACATCATAGAGCGGAATCCGCCGGGGGGGAGTTCGACGGTGTTTTCGACGCCGGCGGGGACGGCGGGGTGGGCCGGAAAAGGGAGGACGAGGGGGGTGATGGAGGTGGGGTGGGCGGAGAGGAGGGGTTTGAGCTGAGGGAGGTTCTTTGGGGTCACCAGGATTGTTATGGTGAGGCCGCGGGCGGCGATCTGGTGTGTGAAGTCTAGGAGGGGTATCATGTGCCCTTGCGCTGGGTAAGGGAATACCAAGATGTGTTCGCCGGATTCGGACATTGTTTGACTCTGCGCGTGTTCTAGAGAGAGAGAGAGGTGGAGAGAGAGTGAGAGTTGAGTTTTGTTTTATTTTTTTTCTCTCTGGTAAGAAGAGAGAGTTGATTGAGTTTGTGGGCAAGAATTTCTAGGATTTGTTGCAGCACGTCTATCCATTTATTCAAAGATATATCAAATTGAATATTGTTTACCTTTTATTACATGTATGTGTGTACTCGGTCAATTATAAAAAATGGTAAATTATGGACCCCACAAAGTAATACAAAGTAATGTCAACTTATGAAAAAAAATTGTTTTATTAGGATAATGAATAATCACAACATTCAAAAATTCAATATATTCTTCTAAATTTTTTTGGAGTGCTCCCTAGTTTGTACTAATTTTATGTATAAGTGAAGTTTGTAATGCACCACAATATGAAATTTACAAGTCAAAAGATATATTTTATGATCATCTTGTTTGAAAATTTGGAGCCCGAATAGGGTAAAACAGTTATAAACTAGAGAATATTCCACATAATCTAGAACATTCAACTAAATTTGACACACAATAGTGTATGTGTAAATAGATTCATAGTTGAGTAGTGTGGTTGTACTTACCCAAATAAAAAAAAAAGTTTTCTCGTACTTTGATTTTACCTCACGGGTGACCGTAAATTACACTTACAAAAAATGGCGCGGTGTGGAAATCAAACAAACTTGCATACTTGATTAAAAAAAAAAAACAAAACTTGTACAAATAGTGTAGTTTATTTATTTTTTTTTTTTTATTTTTTTTTTTTTTTTTTTTTTTTTTTTGGTAATGCAGGAACCCGCAGCCAACCATATAGGTGCACTGGGTAAACCTACACTCTCGTATAATAGCTTGCAAACCATACGAGAGATGGTTTATTTAGTGTAGTTTAATAGTGTAGTTTATTTAGTTTTACAAAAATAAGGTAGATCGCCAAACAAAATAATTTCTAATTTATTAATCTAACAATGGCCTTAGCTGGTCCAAATTATTTTCTAAGTTTTTGGCCGAAACTCTTTACAAAATAGGGTGGTTAGAAAATTGATTAACACGAGAGATGCATGTTAAGGGCCGTTAGATTGGATTTTGATCAACGGTTTCATCTCCACAGCTGGACTACAATCGACGGCTGCGATTAAACCTTTAATCGCACGGTCCTTAAGACGGGGGATTCAAAATGGTGTGTTTCGTTCCACACGGCTTTCATGGTTACCCCTCTTATAGGCTGTTGATTTTGTTCACCTGCTGTGATGAGTGACAAATTTTGTATGGGGTTTAGCAAAATTCTAACCCTTTCATTTTTTTACTTGTTCTCTTTTATTTCAAATTTGCTAAAGTTTATTTAATTTGATATAGGTTAATTTTCTTTAATTTCAGTAGAAGACTTATTGAGATAATTATTTTTCATTCTCCCAATTATCATATTTAACCATAAAATATATTCCCTCCATCCCTTCATAATTGTCGTTTTTAGCTTATGCACTAGGATTAAGGATCTCAATAAATGTTGCTTAATTTTAAGAAAATAACTTTTATACTCAAATGCTCTTACCAATAATTAATGTGAGAGAGTGTTGGAGATAGTTATGCAATTAATGTAGTATTGGAGAGGAAGGTGATATTCGCGGTAGCACAATTACGAACGCGGGTTTAAATAATCCACTCTCTACCTATCTTTCTCTCCCTACAATTTTATGTTTAATAGCTTTTATATTAGAAATCGTTCCAAAACCCATGATATTGTAGCGATTTGCAAAGAAAAATGAGTGCATCGAATGAGGATCGAGATACGGAACCCAATTAATGAGGTAAAATTTGTTCGTTTTTGTTCTATAAATCGCGAAAACGCAACTCACGACCAATTTGGACGCCGAAAAATACGTTTCACGACCAAATTAGGCGTGAAAAAGCCCGATTTACGCCCAGACCAAACGCCACGTCCAGTATTCCACGCCGGTTCGGGCGCGCAAAAGTACTTCCCGCGCCCGATTTGGGCGCGCAACACAACTTTCCGCGTCCGGTTTGGGCGCGCAACACAGCTTTTGGCGTCCGGTTTGGGCGCGCAACACATTTTTTTTTCTTCTTCTATTGCTATTGTTAATACTCTCTAACCTTATTTTATTCATAATTATTTCAGGAAGAGCAACAACAAAATTCTTCTACGTTTGAAGTTGATCATAGTGAGCATTTTATAGTACCAGAACTATTTAACTTGAGGATTGAGATGGTAGAATAGGCGAAAACGACCGCCAAGAATTTTGGTGTAAAGTTCGTGAGTCGTAGTAGCCCTCCAAATAGAGCATATCTTACTTGTGATCTATTTGGGGGGAAGCGACCAAGTAAAACAAACACATATATGCCAAAGAAGAGATGGACTGGCACAAAGAAATGTTATTGTAACAGACGAGTCCCCTGACCAACTAGGCTACAACGAATTTGTTAACTAATACTTATTTATATATAATCATTGTTTATTTATCCTGGGCAAAAAAATAAATATAATCGCAATTCCAGGGAAATCAGAGCTTCCGGTGTTTCAAAAAACCTAAAGAAATATGAAAAAACAAAAAACAATTAAGTAGTAATCCGGCATAATAAAAAAAAACCAAAACGTACGTAGTAGTCTGTCGATAATAAAAAAACATAGAAATAACTAATAGTCTGCTGATAATAAAAAAAATATAAAAATAACTAGTAGTCCCTCCTGTGTCGTCTGCTCTGGGAATATAGCATATGTGACGGTCCAGTATCATGCTCAGCATCCATATCATCATCGGGGATATCGGGTAGCTGCAACTGTAAACAATCAGAAAATGGCGTGCACAGTTCCTGAACCTGTCTAATACATCATCCGGTACGATATGATATCCTGGAATATGAGATGGCGATAAGTGATCGTAGTAGTATGGATGCAACAATCGTGTGATGTCGTACACGAATGGAACTGGGGATGGCTCTGCTCTCTCCAATAAATCGGTACTGGAATCTACATGAAGGTGAGTATGCGGTATATACCAATCCATGTAATTGGTAGTAACCTCACAAGCTGGATGCGCTCTATGACCTTAGTAAGTCTGCTCAAGTCTGTGCACGTGCGGGATACTCCATGCATGATCGTTGGACTCGTAACGTACTTTATACGAAACAAGTTTTATTTCCCTCTTAGAACCACACATCGGTTGAATAGGGGACGTGAGAACAATCTGTCGAAAGCCCAATTGGCGCAAGACTCTATCGGACATGTAAGGCTCGATCGTATCCATGAACCGGATAGTACCGTGATGGAGTGTCTTCTCGACATCACATGCCACATTCTAGCCAAATGAAATCCAATAAACCTATTATAATAACATATACATATATTTATAATACAGTTGATTCAGACAAATGAAAAAATAAATTATACAAGTTACTCACATCCGTTGCATGTATATGATCATGCATTCGACGATACTCAAGTAAACTACTGTTATCCTTTCGAACCACGTTCGATATATGCCACCTTATGCACCACGGCTCTCCTATAACGTGTGTTTTAACCGTCGGAGGTCGAAAACTCGGAAAATACTCGTATATCCAACACTAGATCAACGTATGAAACACAATTTTAAAATAATATAAATATTAATTATATTAAATAATTGAAGAAAATACACAAATAAATAATTACCTCTAACAGTGCCAGACATTCGGAAATCTGCTTCGCCTCAGCTCGTGAAGCCATGCCCAACTGTCGATATAGATTTGCCAATGTACTGGAGCCCCACAAGTATTCTCCAATCTGCTCGATGTCCTCTATAAGTGGGCAAAAATCTGGCTTCACTCTGCCTCCGCTCCTATTGAAAAATAAAAACAATCCCAACAAGTAAATGATGTATGCTCGCACCTTACACTCTGACGAAGCTGATGAATGATCTCCGTATAGCTCCTGCAAGTCCTCTAGTTGGGGGCCGCTATTGTGCCACCAACTCTCTATCTGGAGAATATCGAGTCCGAATGCTCTCGAGCCAGATTCAATCACCAAGCTCTTCTGCATATCAGTGTAAGGACGGCGTCCACTAACTCGCAACCCCATGATATAATGCACATCATGGAGTGTAATCGTCCTCTCTCCAAAAAAGCATATGAAACGTATTGGTGTCCGGCTGCACCTTTCAATGAATGCCTCTATCAGTGGGTTATTGAGCTGAGGGAGTACACAATGCTGCAATTGGTACAAATCTGTATCATCCAACATTGCAACATACCGAGCATCTATTGGCCCACGCCAACCAGTCACCGCTTTCGTACGGGATTGCAATTTCACCATAGATCGCGCCTATACAAAATATATCTGAACTTAAGTATGCAACTATCTACTATTCGCATTTAAAAAAAGACAATAAAAATGAATATAATAAATATTACCTTTCTCTTCCAAATGTTATAGGCGATGTGCGCTCCGAAACTCGGTATCAAGTGATAATCAGTAGGTCCACCAGGTGCCGAACCAGTTAACTTCCAAGACGAGAGCAGTATCGGACGAAGTACTACCTGACGATGAGTAGCACCAACGGATGAAGTAGCAGCAACACCTGTCAAAGTAGTCGGAGATGCGGAAACGGCATTGCCAACATCATTGCCATCATCATTTCCATCATCATTGTCATCTAATCCAACATCTGGCACCGAAAAAACATACTGACCCTCGAAACCTACATGTGAATCATCATCATCCTCGTCGGTCAATGCCTCTGACTCCCTCAGTCGCAAATTACGCTCGCGCCGTGTAGATCTAGTAACCTTACGCTTGTGTGTCCTACCCTCTCGTTGTGCAGTAGTCTCATCTACCGATCCCTCGATTCCAGCAAATCCATCTGGTTACTGGATCCCACTCCGTATGGCCAACTCGTCGACATCTACAAAAATCAGCATATACAAATTACTTAACTAATGAATAAATAAGTTAATTTAAAAAAAAATTGAAGCGGGCGACCGGTCCAGACACTGGTCAAAGGGTCTGCACGTCGGTCTAGGCGTGCAGACCCCTGATTGGCGTCTAGACCGAACGCCCGAAAAAAAAAAATTGAACCGGACGACCGGTCCAGACATCGGTCAGGGGTCTGCACGCCTAGACCGAACGTGCAGATCCCTGACCGGCGTTTGGACCGAACGCCCGAACCAATTTTCCACGTCCAAAATGGGCGTGTAAAAT